TCTCTACAATAAATAAAAAAAATTAGCCGGGCATGGTAGTGCACGCCTGTAATTCCGGCTACTCGGAAGGCTGAGGCGGAAGGATCGCTGGAGCCCAGCGGGTCGAGGCTGCGGTGGCTGGGAACATGCCACTGCAGTCCAGTCTGGGTGACGGAGTGAGACTCCAAGTCAAAAATAAATAAATAAATAAAACAAAATAAAATAAAACAAAACAAGTTATGCCACTAAGCTCTAGCTGGTAACATCAGACACGACACGCCATTTTATGCTAGGTCTTTGTGGGACTTGAACAGCTCTACAGCCCCAAAGGCTTTCAGGTCTTGCCCTTCAGCCCATGGTGGAGCTCAGCTTGTCTAAGGCCTGCAGATATTCATACCTCAAACAATTAAGTGACGGTGTGTTAAGAACTATGCAACTGTGACTCCATAAAATATTGGCAGTAATTCTGAAAACATTTAAGGGACTACACAACTTATGTAGCTAGGAAAAAACACATGAGACTAAGAACCAATAAGTAATCTTAAGTTTTCCAATTACCAGTGGAATCATCTGGGCTAGGATCAAAGTTCAGCCATTCCACACTCAGAGGATATGCAGACAACAGTATATCATGATGTACATAGAAAGAGTCTTCTTCTTGATTATAAACTGAAAATATTGGGAAAAGAGACATTGCATCAGAATAAGAGTCATCAGAAATTACATCCCACTCAAAAGAAGTCTCTATTAAACTAACAGGAGCCATAATGCTTAAGTGAGACACATCTGATACCATTAAGAGGAGATTCCAAAGTCATTATGCTAGGCAGAAATTCTGCTAACACATTCCCATCAGGTGGCATATCTTAGAGGGGAACATGAACACTGACAGACCCTCCACCCGCACACTTCCAGGTAAATGTTCCTGTCTTCTAGTTCACTCATAGAAAGCAAACGCTCCTAAGTCAAAAAGAACAAACAAAAAACAGTACTAGAGACAAAAATAATTCACATCTGGAAATCTGAATGCTTGTCAAAAATTACTCTCCTTTAATATTAAAAAAAAAAAAGCTGGGTGCAGTGGCTCACACCTGTACCCAGCACTTTGGGAAGTGGAGGTGAGAGGACTGCCTGAGCTCAGGGGCTCAAGACAAGCCTGGGGAACTTGGTGAGACTACGTCTCTACAATAAATAAAAAAAATTAGCTGTGGTGGTGCACACCTGTGGTTCCAGTTTACTGAAGGCTGAGGTGGAAGGATCGCCTAAGCCCAGCAGGTTGAGGCTGTGGTGGCCATTAGCATGCCATTGCACTCCAGCCTCGGTGATAGTGAGACTCCTACTGAACAACAACAAAAATTTCTGCAGAGCAATAATACAGAGAAAGTTCTTGAGGTTACCCATTTGGAATATGGCAACAAACAAAATTAGCTCCTTAACTTCACAGTTATAATGTTGACTGAGCATGGTAGCTCATGCCTATAATCCCAGAGCTTTGCAAGGACCAGGAGGATTGCTTGAGGCCAGGAGTTCAAGACCAACCTGAGTAACAGTGAGATCTTATTTCTACAAAAAAAATTTGCATAAAATTTAGTAGTGGTGCATGCCAGTAGTTCCAAATATTTGGAAGGTTGAGGTGGGAGGATTACTTGAGCCAGGAATTTGAGGATGCAGTGAGCTATGATCATGCTACTGTACTCCAACCTGGGCAACAGAATGAGATCCCATCTCGTAAAAAAAAAAAGTAGTTCATAAAGGCCAACAATATAAACAAAGCTCTTCAGGACACCCTTTTGGATTATGTCATCTAATAGAATTTGCTCTTTAACATTCATGTTATAATGTTAAGGAGTAAAATCATTGTTAAAATCAAGAACTCAGAAGTCTTCTACAAATTATATAGTGAAACTGGTAAAATCGAGCCCAATAATCGGAATCCACCTCCCCATATACTTTATTAAGAAAGAAGTAAATTATAGAATAAACTAAGGATTCTCTTTTTAATCCTCAGACCTCTGCTTCTGAGATAGATCCTGGGATCAGCATATTCTGTGTAATGCTCTATCGCATTCTGTGATGAGAATACATGTTCAAAATGATTAGACTGTGGTCCTGCAAAAAGTTCAACCATGTTCAGGGTACTCAGCTTACATTCTAAATAAAAGTAGTGATGGCACTTTAAAACATTCTCTTCTTTTAACCTAATGTGAGATAAATATTCAGATCAGTTTTAGCATACAATTTTGAAGTTATTCTTGAATAGATATGCTAGACAATCAGGAGACTCCCTCAAAGCCCCAATACTAAAGTGTATCTATAAATGACCTAAACTTAGAAGGAAATGAAAATACAATTGCTTTATTTAATGTCTTTCTCGACTCCTCTCTCTCTTTTTTTTTTTTTTTTGAGTCAGGGTCTCACTCTGTTACCCAGGCTGGAGTGCAGTGGCACAATCACAGCTCACCACAGCCTTGACCTCCTGGGCTCAGGCGATCCTGTCTGTCTCCGGGGTAGCTGGGACTATAGGTGTACACCAATATGCCTGGCTAATTTTTTGATTTCTTTTTTACAAAGTCTAGCTATGTTGCCCAGACTGGTATCAAACTTGTGGGCTCAAGCAATCCTCCTGGCTCAGCTTTCCAAAGTGTTGGAATCACAGGCGTGAGCCACCATGCCCAGCCTCAACTTCTCTCTGATCTTTGTTGAGTTCAAAGGCATGACTATAAGTTCTCAGAAGAGAATTCCTGAAGAATCAATAAGCATAAAAAACTGCAACAGGGTTTCAATTTTTTGAAGTTAGAATTGATATAAAGCAAATCGCTCAAATGACTTTCATTTGAAGTATGTAAAAGTTCTAAGATCTTAAAGTTAGAATAACTTCAAATTAAACAGTCTGCTATTGAAGGCTTTTAAAGAAAGTTTTCTTTTTTTAATTAAAAAACAAAAACAAAAACATTTCAGACAGTCTCACTATGTTACCCAGGGTGGTTTCAAATTCCTAGTCTCAAGTGATCCTCCTTCCTCAGCCTCCCAAAGTGCTGGGATTGTAGGTATTAGCCACTTGCCTAGCCAAGAAAGATTTCATAAAAAGATCATAATGAGCCATGGAATAAAATGGGCCTAATCCGTAGACTTTCCACAGGTAGCCTTAATGATTCTAAAGTTATAGAAATCCAAGCTAATCAGTGGAACCAGTGATGAAGCACCCTAGAAGATGCCAACAAACACTAGGTCTAAAGGCTCTACATTTTCAAACTGTGCAACTGTTACCTATAACAAAAGACCTCATCAACCTAATAATCTTCTAAATCTTCAAAGTTTCAAGACAGATAAAAGATTGCTGGGAGAGGGGAGTATCTGGGCAGGAATGGATTTGCCTGAAGAAAAGTGCGCAGAGAAGAGAGAGAAAGACACAAGGGAAAATCTGCAGGCAGAGAGTCTAGGCATTTTGGAGAGCTATTCTTAGCATATAAAAATTAAAAGGTTTTACATAAAAGATACCAAAGCGAGACAAGTCACTCAACAAATGTTTGTTAACTTACTATTCAAAAATTCCTATTTCCATGCCTACTTCAGATAATGGCAAAGCTTCACCTTTGGCTTTAGCGCAACCATTCCCTGAAGTGGGAAAGGTTTTGCTTCCGAAAGAGAAAAGTGGTCCTCTGTGATGAATTATGAAGAAAATAAAATGTTTTGCAAAGGAGAATTATCTGAGATAACTATAAAAAAGCAACGTAAGAACCAGTTTGTCCAGTATAATCTACATGAAGAAACATTGGCCAGGAAAAAAAGACTTAGAGAAACAGAACGGAGAGTTATGACCTCAGGGTAACAGGATTATATACTTTCCTTGTATTTTCATACATATTGTTTCCAGGTTTTCTACAGTGGGATGTGGGAAGGGAGTGAAAAATTGGCAAACATGCTTAAATAAAAGTAGTTAAAAAGCCCTGCCAAAAATTTTCAGGGGACTTATTTCCATTAAAAAAGTCAGGCACCCAGGTAATATATCAGACCACACACGCCGAGGACAATAACAAGGAAACTGGCAGGCCGTGTAGAATTGAATGATGTAACCTACTTAAATGATGTACAGCAGGATCTGGCACCTAAAGTTTCTTAACAGTGGTCATTACAGTTATTAATTTAATATCACTTATAACATCTTTTAGTAAGGGACTAATTTAACTTACCATGCACTTCTAAGTTGCACTGGTCCTGTTCAGCTCGGCCACAAACTATGAGATTGTCACCGGGCTTAATCAAGAAATCTTCACGTTCATACTGTTCCTATGTGGAGAGAAAAAAAGGCATTGGCTAGAAGCAGATATCCAGTAAGGTTTCTCAAACACTCAAAAATGATGTAAATATTTACCGTGTCTTTCAGAGTAACGTAAGGATCTTGATCATTACTCCCATAGACTGTAAGACCCAAGAGAGATTCACCAAGAGTCTCCGCATCTGTAAGAATTCATAGATTGAATGAATACAATAGTCATCTTGACAATAACAAACAAACTCTGGATCATTCATAGCTGGGAAACTATCATCATAAGCAAGAATTTATTTAGGTATTTATTTATTTAGAGTTGGAGTCTCACTCTGTCACCCAGGCTGGAGGGCAGTGGCATGCTCCTGGTCACCACAGTCTCGACCTGCTGAGCTCCTGCAATCCTTCCGCCTCAGCCTTCCAAGTAGCCAGAACTACAGGCGTGCGCTACCACACCTGGCTAATTTTTTATTTATTGTAGAGAGGCGGTCTCACCAAGTTGCGCAGGTGGGTCTTGAACCCACAGGCTCAGGCAATCCTCTCGCCTCGGCCTCCCAAAGTGCTGGGATTACAGGCTGAGTCACAGAGCCTGGCCATAGCAATAATTTAAAAGCCATTTATATTTAACCTTTGGGAAGCATTTCTCTTTGTTTTTTCTTTTTGCTTTGAGTCGGAGTCTCTCTCTGTTGCCCAGGCTGGAGTGCCGTGGCATGCTCATGGCTACTGCAGCCTTGACCTATTGGGCTCAAGCAATCCTTTCGTCTCACCCTTCCAAGTAGCTGGAACTACAGGTATGTGTCACTGCTCCTGGCTAATTTTTAAAAATTTATTGTAGAGATAAGGTCTTGCCAAATTGTCCAGGCTGGTCTTGAACCTCTTGGCTCAGGCAATCCTCTTGTCTCTGCCTCCCTAAGTGCTGGGATTACAGGTGTAAACCACTGCGCCCAGCTTAGAAAGCATTTCTGATTGCCTTGAAATTCAATCTTCCAATAAAGAAATTAAATCAGAGAATTAAACCTCCTTAGAAAATATGAGCATTCTTTTCAGATTCTCTAGCTTGCTCCTTGCAATTATGGTTGAAGATGCTATAGGGAGGTAGCCTTGAGGATCTGGAAACAACGACCAGGAAATGCTGAAATCATAAATAAGGGTTGCAGGTCAAATAAAATTGAGAGATGAGAGGTTTCATAAAGTTAACCAGGTTGCTTTACTGCATGTGCTCTCAGAACAGCTGACAGGCTAATATGCCTTAGGAATCTAGAAACAGAAATACCATATGCCTTTTTCACTAAACTTACTTGAAATGGGATTATTCTTTTATAGCACATCTACAAAAGTGATACAAAGTAGGCTAAGATTAACATAAAACTCAGGAAAAGAAAGATACACTGAATTGTTAGAGGAAGCTACTTTAAGGAGGCAGGACCCATGGGTCTTACAGCATCTCATATGGTAACAAGACGGGGGATTTCTCTTTTCTTTCTTTTTTTTTTTTGAGTCAGAGTCTCACTCTGTCACCAAGGCTGGAGTGCAGTGGCACACTCACGGCCACTGCAGCCTCAACCTGCTGGGCTCAGGCAATCCTTCTGCCTCACCCTTCCAAGTAGCTGGAACCACAGGCATGTGCTACCACGCCCAGCTAATTTTTCTTGATTTACTGTAGAGAGATGAGGTCTCACCAAGTTGCCCAGGCTGGTCTCAACCCCGTGGACTCAGGCAATCCTCTCACCTCGGCCTCCCAAAGTGCTGGGATTATAGGCGTGAGCCACTGTACCCGGCCAAGACAGGGAATTTCTACTGCACGAGAAAGAGCTGCTCCTGAATGCCATCTTTCCAGGCTGGGCTGGCTCCTCCTTTCTCTGTACTCCCATCCCTCACAATGCTGGGGCCCACAACTCAGAGTCTAAGGAAAAAAAAAACTATCACTGCTGGGAGGCATCTAGTGAAGTACACTGAAAACAACGAGGCTTTAGAGCCAAAGTGCCCAAACCTCGGTACCATCTTTCACCAGCTGTGTGCCACTCGCACCTGGAGGCAAAACTTCCTTTTTCAGTCTTGCAGATAAAGACCAATGAGACTAGCGGTTACACACAAGACAAACGGCCAGGGGAATAAGGAACAAGGAGGGTGAACATCTCGACGGAAAAACGGCAATAAAATTCGACACAGATGGAAATGAAAAAAAATCAGGGCTACTTCTTGCCTAGAGGAAAAAAGGTCCACCAGTGATATTTAGACAGAATCTAGGGGTACCAGTTCTAGAAGAAAGTTCATCTCTGAAGAACATGCAAAAGCCCCAGCTACTCAAGCACACTCTTTCTTCCATGTTTTCTCCCTCCTTCCCAGAGCCCTAAGGCAGGCCCTCATTGCTTCTGGCCTAATGTATCTCAAGACCCCACTCCTCCAAGGAGCGGTTCACCTTATCTCCAGCCCATTCTCCACTGCCGCCTGAGTGAAATTCCTCAAATCCACGTCCAACCTCATGTATCCTTGCTCAAAAACCTTTAATGAGTTCCCTGCGGAAGGAACACAGAGATTCCTGAGTCTGATATTCTAAGTTCACTGGGGCCCAACTTTAGAAAGACTGTGTACCAGCTCCCACCCACCCACTCCTGCTTCACCCACAAAGATCAACTTGCCCAGCACCTCCCCTACTGTGGGCTTTTGCCCAGAATGTTCCCTCCCCTCATCATATACATCAGGTCAAGCTCAACACTGCTTTGACACTAAGGGCTTCCTATATCTTCCTCTTGTTTGGTTCATTTCTACCTTCATGTTATCTACGGTACTCAAACATATCCCATTTGAGGTATCCAGGTCCAATCTGCTAATTTTCACCCTAACAGCTTTGGTCAATTCCACCTCCACCCAGAACTACTTCCTCATTTCTCCTTACCATCCATTATTTACTGATCTTCCTGTGCCTGACATGGACCACGTCTCCAAGACCTGTTCTTCAAACTTTCCAGCAACACTAACTGATCTTCTGGATACCCTCCTGGGTTCACCATCAACCCATATGTGCCTGAGTTTTAACTTTGTATTATGGAAATGTTCAAACGTGAACAAAAGTAGAGCGGGCATGATGAACCCTGTATCACCTAGCTTTGCCAACTAACAATATTTTCTGTGTTATTTTTCTACTTTCCTTCTCATGTCATCTCTGGAGTTTTTTCAAAGCAAATCCTAGAGAGCCAACTGAAACCATGGAAAGCAAAGCTATAGATAAGCGGGAAATACTGTATTCTGTAAAAAGTGATTGCTGTTGAGGAAAAAGGTATATGGACAGAATTTCAAGTACACTATAATTGCATACAAGAACACAAATGGGTTACAGATTATTATACTGGATACATGCAGTGAAATATACAATACTATTTTTTTAATGGAGATGGGGTGGGAAAGTGTTTTTGAGGCATGGGGGCAGTTTTAAAGGGAATAGGAGGAACCAGTGAGTCCTAACAGTCCTGCGGCAGGGCCCAGGATGCCAGCAAGGTCTCAAAGGTAGGTGCTGTTGCCGGAGTCCAGCTTCAGCCGGATTCAGGGTACCCCAAAGGTGGAGACGGCATCGCAATGGGGGGGGGGAGAGAGACAGACAGAGAGACTGGACCCCAATACTAATTTTTTTTAAAGATCTTAGTTTTACAAGTTAGATTAGTGAGTTAGCGCTTATCTTCTAAACTAGTTTAGGAAGCATGTTCTCTGTCCAAGACCTGAAGCAGATTGACTGTTGTCAGGGACAAAACCTCAAGGTAGAGCTCTGGAACACAGTGAGCATGACCTAATGCCCTGAGCTTATTATGACAAACCGGTAGAAGTGAATGATTCTCACCTGGGTCCTCATCATCATATTTATCGAGGTTGTACTCGGCCAGCTCATCGTCATCCAGCGTCCTGTCATCCTCTGGGTCACCATCCCCCAGGAGGTCTCTGGGTCGTGCTTGGGTGCGTGCACTCTGCATGCCATCTTCTGAAGGACTGCCTGTCTCCTCTTCATCGCTGCCACCTTCTTCTCTATGACGATGAACACAAAGAGAAAAAGGAATCACCCAATGGCACCCGCCAATAACAAGACCACCTGGTCTCCATTATTTAAGATACACATTTCATCTGGACTTTACTCAGACATCAACATGAACAAACTTACTGCAGTTTTTCCTTGGCATCAGCAATGAGACGCTTTACTTCTTCTTTACTTAGCTCTACCTATAAGAGAACAAACACTTCATTACAATATATTTAGGGAAAACATCAGAAGTCTTTGAATTCAAAATAAGTTTGCACACAAATGTTAAATATAACTTCAAATGCTATTATCTAGCTAAGAATGAAACATCTGGCCAGGTTTGGTGGCTCAGCCTGTAATCCTAGTACTTTGGGAGGCCAAGGCGAGTGGATTACCTAAGCCCATGGGTTTAGATCAGCCCGGGCAACTTGGCGAGACCTCATCTCAACAATAAATAAAACATTAGCTGGGTGTGGTAGTGTGCACCTGTAGCTCCAGGTAGCCGGAAGGCAGACAGATCACCAGAGCCCAGCAGGTCGACGCTGGGGTGGCCGTGAGTGTGCCACTGCACTTCAGCCTGGGCGATGGAGTGAGAATTAAAAAAAAAAGAATCAAACATCTATCCAGACTCTGAAAATTTAGCATAAATGAAGTTTTTACAGACTCTAACAATTAAGATCCTCCCAAAACTGTTAAAAAAAATCATGCTCATTCTACTCTTCCTCTGTCTTAAAAAAAACCAAAACAAACAAAAAACTGACTTTTGTAGTGTGTGGCTCTGCGGCGGCATTTGGTTCTCTTCCCATTATCTCTGACCCCCAGGGCACCTCCTAGCTTCCCTGTGGGTATTTCTTAACAAACCACCCCTTACATTGCTCCTCTGCCCTTTTCCCTGTTATCACTGCCAAGAATTTGCTCATCAGACTCATGTCCTTGTCAAGTTCATTCATTCTTGAGATGAAAATTACTACCTCTAAACTGATCACTCCAAATGCCCCTCTCTAATCTTATACTCCAGGTCCATTTCCCCAACTGCCTATAACACATCGCACTTGGATATCCTTTTTTTTTTTTTTTTTTTGAGAAAGGGTCTCACACCATCACCCACACTGAAATGCAGTGGCGTAATCATAGCTCACTGCAGCCTTGAACTCCTGGGCTCAAGCAATCCTCCCACCTCAGCTTCCCAAGTAGCTGGAACTAAAGGCACACACCACCATGCCCACCTAATTTTTAAAATTTTGTAGAGACAGGGTCTCGCTATGTTGCCCAGGCTGGTCTTGAACTCCTGGCCTCAAGTGATCTTCCTGCCTCAGCCTCCCAAAGTGCTGGGATTACAGGCATGAAGCATTACTGGGATTACAGGCGTGAGCCATCACACTCGGCCTCACTTGATCATCCTTTATACTAACATTAAGTTCAAAACTGAAGTCACTCTACTTCAAAGCAGTCATTCCTATTTTAGAGCTTTTGAAATGAAAAGAAAAAAAAAAGAAACCTGACATTCCCTCACCTAAGCAATGCTTCAGTACCTTTAAAGCACCCATATCGCTACTAAATTGTAAACTCTTTGAAGACTGAAGCTGGCTCACTGTATATCTAAGCACATAGTTCAGCGCTTGGCTCATGATGGCAATGCTTAATAACTGATAATGAATCAATCAATCTCCCTGTTTCTACTAAAATGTCTCTAGCAATATACAAATCCTCCTGAGGATGACTTCCATGGTGGGACAGCTCCAGAAATTACAGGCTCTTTCTTTATCTTTTCTATTTTTTTTTTTTTTTTT